CACATGACCAGCATGTTCTTTTAGTGGTCTCCACTGGGTCGTTGTAGACCATGAAGTTGGAGGCCCTGCAGCACGTGGCTTGGCCTCGCGCTGCAAGGAAGGAGAGGTCTCGGGTTGAATTTACTTGAGTAAATCATAACTGCTGCCAGTAAATTAAAGCTATGGTACCAGTGCCGGGACATAAAATTTCTGTGTTATTTCTGTACTGTAACTGTTCATTTTGAAGATACTAAAATTTCTGAGTCTGATATTTATGCTGCTGGTTAGGGAGTAAAATTAAATACTGTCTCCAAGATAAAACATATTGTCGGCGTAGCAATAAAGCTCTGAACATCTGTCTGCTTCTTTTCCATTTCATCTAGCCGTACCAGCAAAATAATTCGCTTTATGTTATTTCCTTATTGCAAATTCAGTATGATTCAAGACTCCCTGGTACGTAGAACAGCAACGTGACAAATGAGCTGCTTATTTTTGAATGATTTGCGATTTAGGGAAACCTGATCATGGTGAGTTATATAAAAGTCTTTGAGAAATTGCAAAGTGTGGACCAAGGGAAAGTTTGCAAAGACTTGCTGAAGAGCTGGGAAAATAAATAGCTAGAAGAAAGCTTGTTTTCCTGCTGATTCTCTGTAGACTATTTCATGTAGTATTTGTTATTATAATATATTAAGAATTGCTCCTAAATCAGGCATAGGTGGGTTTTTGAAATGAAATATAGTCTGTGTGGTAACTTGCAGTAAAGATGGTAATATTTGGTATTGCTGTTGCTGCTGCCCCTCAATGCAATAACCAAATAACAGGTAAAGTGGCAGTATTGGCCTGCAAAGTTTCCCCTTGTGACCCTGCAGCAATAGCACCTCTACCTTCATCTTGGAAGCCGAAATGCTGATACTGCTATTTTTTTGTTTGTTTTGCTCATTTTGCTAAATTTTACCAAATTAAGGTAACTTCTTGAGAAGTATCTTGATAGATTTTCCTTTTCTTTTTTCTTCTTCTCTTTCTCTTTTCTTTACTCTTTTCAGAAGTATCTTTCTTTTTTCCCCCATTTTTTACTTAGAAAAATTTTCATCTTTTGTTACTGTTTTGCCCAACCTCACCTTTTCTTTTTTTCTGAGCAGTCTATTTTTAACTTTTTGTCTTATTATTTCTGTGTTCTTTCCCCTCTGTTCCTCCTTTTAATTTCTACTCCGAGGTGTAACGGGGTGGTTATTCCCATCACGGCAGTTTAAGCCAAGCCTGGGAGGAGGGAAGCACTAGGTTTGTGGGGGACACTGGAGGCTGGAGGGGCTTCTTGAGGCAGGTCATGGACAAGATCTCCTGCTGCTGTCAGCTGGGCAGCGTGAAAACACCATGGAGTTATCCAGTTGCTATTAGTGCCTCAGTTGCTATTTATGCGGCCTTATACAACCGAAGGGACAGAATAATTAATAAAGCATTTGTTTTATGGATCATTTAAAGGAAAATAAAAGCTGTCAGCTGCTTTTGTAATTTTTCTTGAAGGAGATTATTAAAATGTATCTTATAGCTTCAGTATTCACTGTCTTTCGTCATTGTTCTCTGTCTTTCAAAGAACATTCTGGAAAATGAAGTTTATCATTAAGATTACATTGAAGTGGATTACAGACGAGAAGAGCAAAAATGTGAAGGATCTGAACAGCTCAGAGCAGAAAGACGTGGGCATCTCGTTCCCCCGGCCAGGGAACGGGGAGCTCTAATAGCCTGATAAACAGAAATGACTTTTTCTCTTTCAGGCTTAAAGGTTTACTTTGAACTTGTAAAGATTTTTTAAAATGCCAATTCCCTGAGCTTATGTTGAACTGAGAACTTAGGGTCTAATTTCCCATCACTTTATTTATTTATTTTTCTGTTTGGTTTGAGTGAGCAATTACTGTTGAAAAGCCATAGGTGTCATCGATGCATGGGAGAAGTGCCCCCTTCTAACACAGCAATATTTACTGCTAGGTACCTGCTTTCAAACCCTATTTTGTGTCACCGAGGAACATAACATTTTTTCCCCTTAGAGCTTCTGTTTATGTTGTGTTTGGTGCAGTTTCTGGAATGGGCCTTTCCTAAAACAGCAAGAAAGGATCTTGATAATTTGCTTTGGCATGGTGTGGAGAGTTGCAAGGAGGTTGAATTTCACACTTTTTATAGCAAAGAAAACCAAGAAAAGGCTCAGTTCAGGGAGGTTAAGCGTTGTCACTGCTTTCATAGTTATCTCCAGCATTTAAGTTTTATCAGCATTAACATCACATTTGCTCTGTGGCTGCAAGTATAATTGGGCCTGTTGCATCTTGTTTCCAAACAGCACTGAATGGCTGAAGAAATTACCCTTTTGTCTCCCTTTTCTAAACTTTTCTCATGTTCAGCACGTGTTTCTAGGCAGTTTGAAAAGTGAGTATATTGCTCAATATCTGTGCTTTCCATGAGTCGTGACTCAAATACTTTATTTTAAGAAGGGGACCTAGCACATAGCCCGTTTTTCATTTTGAATATCAGCTCAGGCGTAAGCTCTCGATGTACTCAGAATTTATGGAAATAGGTCACAATATTGGGAGATTAGGAAAAAGAACCCTCCATCGTCCTAGCAAAATGTTTTGCAATAGTCAAATGCAGATTCTGGCTGTTTTGTAGTATTTAATCCTATGCTTGTGTGTCTGGCTTCTGACTCTAATTGGGAAGAAATTTCTTTGACAGAAAAATGCTGTAAGATTTCTCTACTGTGACTATCACAATAGAGTTCATGGAGTTTTGTACTCATATTTACCCTTTGCATGGAAAAAATATATCGTTGAATAAACTTATAATGTTGTGGTGGTCCAATACTCAGTGATTCTGTACTGGAGATGGCGCAGCTGCAAAACCAGCAAGCTGGCCCATCTCCTTGGGCTGCTTCGGCATGAAGTCTGTCCCAGAGAAAGGAGGATGAGCTCCCTAATCGAGGCATTGAGGGACATGGTGTGATGAATCTTGCAGTTGCATTTTATGGTGTCACCCAGCTGGAAGATGCTGCCAGCCTCAGTTGCCCCTGCAGGTGGCTTTTAAGCAGGGTGCTGCCCTATGATGATGTGCACTGGGGTAGGTGGGAGCACGTCTGAATTTCCCAGCTGTGCTGCAGGGTGGTAGCCTTCAAATGAGCTGGAAGCTGTGGTGGTAGCTACACTTTGCTAGCTGCAAGTCCTGAATGATGTGTATGATTTTTCATACATTGCATGTAAATACTTCCTGAGTATTTACTTACATGTGCTTGTGATACTTGGTTGTACTGTATAATTCCATCTTGTATTTTACAGGATGAAGGGTCTGGATTGGCCGTTTGCCCTTCCTGGACGTTAGCTTCTAGGGAAAAAAAATGTATATGTATATATAAAATTATATATATATATTTTTCTCCTGTAGAATCCAACAAGAATTGTTTCTTTTATGCTGTGGAATCCTCATATTGCCAAGTAAGGGAAAGACCAGTCTTTTCTCATACTTAATTTGGGGTTATTTAGGGAGGCTGTGATGGAGAAGGGAGCATTCAGCATCTCTCACGCTCTCTCTCCATGAATACAGTTCTTGGGCAGAGCTTCCTTTTGTAACTGATTGATTAGAACAGAACCGAGGAAATAGTGGTGCTCTAGGAATTACATTATCCATTTTCTAATGCAGATATAAAGGCCTCTTGATGAACTTTCCCACCTGAATACAACAATGAAGAGCCTATTTCACAGTCCCTGATTATTAAATTGGTCTGTGAATGGTTCCAAATTGAAATGAAGCTTTCTACTGGCTTCTAATTCATCTGATGCTTTAAAGTGCATATTTGCCTTCAAAGCGGAGGATTCTCAGGTAGGGAAACAGCTGCTTGGGAATTTTGGTGAATTCCTACATAAGTTTCCTGAATCATACACTTTAGGAACCTGGCAGATATATAATTTAGTCTAACTATCTTTTAAAACAGTGTCCATTTCTTGATCTGTGTAGACAGCACCTGAAAAACTGTGGTTTTATTTAACCACATTTTTTTATTTCCTTTTATTTATAACAATATTTATAACAATAAACAGTGCCACTCTGAAATGCTCCTAAATTTTCCAACATGATTCTTGCCTTCAGAAAAACAGAGATCTTTTGTTTAAGAGTATGCTGGAGATGTTTGCTTTAATATTTCTAATTTGCTTGAAGTTTTTTGACTTGCACACGATACTTCCCACGTCCTGCTTGCTCTTTCAGTACTTGCACTTTGTGCCTCTTTGCAGCCTTGGCTGAATTTGCCACACACTAATTGCGAAGAGCTGGCAGTCAGATGAGTTATTTCCCTTTGCCGCGTTGCCCTGTTCGATACCTGATGGGTGACTGGGGACAGCTGTCCATTAGTGTCCAGCCCGTCTCCAAGAACATGTGGAGCGACGTCCTTCACCGTGTCACGCTGCACAGAGGGCTGAGAAGAAGGGGGACTGAGCTCTGTTGCCTTAATTGAGAGTCCTGTCCACATGGTAAAATAAGTGCTAATTGCCTGGCCTCAGAAGGTATTTCTCTTCCAATAGAGGTTGCTGGCAAGAGCAATGTGCAGGTGGTGGCTATAATTACTAGCTGAGTATTATCTGTCTGTCAAAGCAAATCATATTAAACCTCCGTTTTGCTTCTACTTTGTTAGAAAAAAGATGAAAAGATACAGTAGCACCTGAGATATTGCGCTGTTTGTTGAAAATGAGGCATCTTCTCAAAAGTAAATTGGCTTATTTTGATATATATACGTAATTATTTACGTGCCTTGTATATGTGAGATTCCAGTAATTGCTTTGTGCAGAACGAGGAGACTGTCACGGGGATGGTTTTTCTCTTGCAATGTTTTTCTAAGAAAAGCCGAGAGTGAGAGCGCAGTGACGGGAGTACCAGTGATAGAGATCAAGCGGCCTCAGCCCCTGCCCAGGTGCTGCTGCTGCTCCTCTCAGGTGTTTCCAATTTGTCTGAGTTGTGGCTATGATTTCACCAGCCTCTCTTGTCTTCCGTAGTGCCAGAACCCTGGAGAAGGCCCGGCAGCAGCTACAGGAGGAAATGCTGCGGGTCCAGAGCCAGCTGCTGGACGAGAAGAAGAAGCGTGAGCACCACGAAGCGCTGGTCAGGCGGCTGCAGAAGCGCGTGCTGCTGCTCACCAAGGTGAGTTCTGTGATGGCATAGGGCAAGGTCCATGTCCCTGCACCTTTGCTGCCCTTTCTGGTTGTTCTTTGCCCACCTCGGCAGCCGACCCGGCACCGTTGTGCTGTGCTCTTCGCGTGGCAGCGCTGCAGTGGTGACGGTCATGTCAAAAATGTCCTAGGACGTTGCAGGGCTTTGCCAGCGTGTGCCTCGTTCCAGCTCCTCCTGTGTTGCTGATGGGTGACTCGGTCTCCTGTTGGCATTTGTGCGAGGGCAGAGAATTGAATCCAGTCGCTGGACTGTTTTGAGGTGCTGAGGGGAATTTGTAATGGCTCCGGCTGCCTCACCCCCTTTCCAGATGAGAAAGAAGTGGCTGCTGCTTGTCGACTCTTCCTGTGGAAAAAAATGATTTGCAAAGTGTAAGAGAATCTCCTCTTGAACTGAAAGTCTGTTGGAATGTAATGGCAGGCACTAGACCAGTAAATTGAAAATACATTTTAGGATGCTCTCTATAGGACATTTCAAAGAGTTCTGCATTATCCTATATCAGATATGCTTCCACGATGAAATTCTATACAATAATTCAGAGGAGTCTGTAGAGCATTGAAAAGTTTATATTAAATTCTCAGAGCATCCTGTTCCCAAAGGGAATAGTAATTCTCTCTAGTCAGAAGAATATGTACTTCAGCATCAAAAAGTACTTGCTAAAACTTCACTGCTCTGAGCCATCTCCTTGGCATCAGAGAGCTGCTCCTGTAGGAGAATGTGTCTCTGTGCATGAACTCAGACTGGATGGCTGGGATGAGTGAGGCAGCAGGGGAAGGACCTGGGGCTGTTGCTGAGCTTGGTGCAGGGAAGCTGGGAGCTGTACAGGGAGGAAGATGCTGGTCTGGCTTTCCCAGACAAATGGGTTATTTGGCTCAAGTGCTTGGTCAGAATAGTCCTTGCGGACACAACAGGGATGTCTGAGCAAGAGGGAGAGGAGCTGTTTTTCTGCTAGGGCTTTAGGCTTTCGTTTTCAGCACCAGCTGAAGTGTTTTGTTTGCACGTAGCCCTGCGTGGTTGTGCATCAGCGCGGAGCTGGCGACCCTGCTGAGCTTGAAACTGCTGTTGCAGGAGGGGGCTGTTTCAGATCTGCCTGTGCGCTTTGGTGCCAGGAAGGGTCACATAACTACGGAGGGGAAAGAAACACCGTCTGTTTTCTCAAAGCACAGGGACAGGTGCTGCTTTTTGAGCAGGTGGCCTCAACTCCTTGTTTTGGAAATAGGAAAGAAACTTATTCTCCTCAGTCTTACCCCAAGCATGCAGTCAGCCCTCCGTACTGTCTAGTTTGTAACTGGCTTGGCTAGGCACAACACAGCACCTGATGAAAATCCTTCCGTGCATAATCCTTCCGTGCTGTCTAATACTGTCCTGGACACTCGAGCCTCAAAGAGGGCTGCTCAGACAGCTTTTCAAATATTCCATTATTCCATTTATTAAGCTATTTCCAGTCCTCAGCAGAAACATGTTTGTCATAGAGCACAAATGTCATTACATTTCCTGAAGTACTGGGAGAAGAGACTACGGTGCTTTGTCATGAGGTGAACTGTACTCTATAAAGAAAGATTAAAACCTTTGATTTGCTTACTGTCCCGTTCATCCCTCTGAATACAGGGAAAATTTTGAGGTGTTCTTCATAAGACCGTAGCAAATAAACTTCTGTTTTAACACTGGAAGTTTTCAGTGAGCTGCAAAATTCCTTATCTGACTTGTTTTAAAGGAATAAGAAAATCTTGGTCTCTGGAAAAAACAATGTATTTTAACTAGGGAGTGCTAAAGATGCTTTGTGAAGAAGTTCACGTATTAGGGTACTTGGGTATTCTGTCCTTGGCACTGTTTCTCCCACTGGTTGCTCTTCTCATGCAAAATCAGACGAAAGCATTTCAATTAATTAAAACAGTATGATATTATGATTTAAAATGAGATTGCGCAAATATATTGCCTGTTGAAAATAATTATTTTACATTGAAAGCATATCACCTAGAATGGTATTTAATCATCTAATTAGTGGCATCAGTAGTAGACTGTGCTTCTGCCTATGTAAGTGGAGAATAGAAAAGATGAGCTGTCTCTATTGAATCTTTTTGTCTTGTTAAATAGCACTGTGAAAATCTAATTTGGGGAAGGTTTCTGTATGATTGAATCACTAACGTTTCTGATAGTGATTGTTGCATTTGCCCGTATTTGACCCTCTTGTAGGGCAATGAATCTCATCCCTTATGCTACACAGATGAGCATTGCAAGACTTTAGATAAGTTTAACAGTGTAAAGTTAATGCAGTGACAACTACCCTTTCTTTGGGGTCAGATTGTAACCTGAGAGGCACAAATACTGAATGAACCTTAAAAAGGAGGGTTCTTCATTTGATAACAGCGTTTAAGTGATAAAAATAGCCTTTATGCTCTCCAAGCATGCCCGAGAGATACCTGCTTTGCTGATCTGATTCCTTCTCAGCTGTCCGTTGTGGATCTTGAACCCCGTCTCAAGTTTCAAGCAATAGTTTTTGGCTTTCACAGATTGTCTTTCTCATTTGCTTAGTCTTGTTCATTCTCTACGTGTCACAGCCTCTCAGTCTTACTTCATTGCTCTTGTTTTTTTTCCATTTCAGTGCACTTCTCCTTCCATTTCTTGCTTCCTCGACTCATTTGCTGCTTTTGAGCTTTCTTGACCTTACTTGGGCCTTTCCAGTTAGCTTAATGATTGGAATTAACACAATTGTCAGTCTAGGATACTTCTGTGAATCGCTGTAGATCTCTTTCTTGGTAGGCTTAAAGAAGAACCAGTCTTCAGTCCTTGACATGCTGGGGTCTTTGCTACTGCAGTGGGCTTACCCCAGTTAATTCCAGGTCTGACAGTGGACTGGGATGTGAGCTGTATCCCAGCTATTGCTGTTGACAGTCTGCTCTTTAGAACGTCTTAGTTAATCGCTTTCTGCTCTACGTCCTTGTAAATCAGAGCAGTACTTCTCATTTCTGATAGGTGTGCTTTCAATTAAATATGAACCCTGGATGTGCATCCTTAAGGGGGGCTCTTGTGTTTTTTTGTGTGTACACAAGAGCTCCAGTTTCAGTTGCTTCTTGTAACTTCTTATAAATGATCCCCATTGGCTTCTCAAATTGTAGACTTTGTAAATGTAGCCTGTCCTAATTGCATCCCTTACTCTTGTAGAAGACATTACAAAACAAAGGAATTAATCTGATTGTACTGAATTTTGTTGTTTTGCTTTGTTTACTTCCTATCTGTACATTTGTCTGCCTCTGGGTACTCTGCTACCAAGAGAAAAGGCTGTGAAAATCCATTTTTTTTTTTTTCCTGGAGTATTCAGCCGGATCATGTGATCTGAGAGTAAATCTGTTTCTATTGAGACATAATTCAGGCCATCATCATAAAAGTTAGGGGTTAAATAAGTATTGATTTAACTAACTCCAGCTGACTGTTCATACCACATGTTCCTGGAGACGGCCTCATAAGAGTCAGCGTGAACTGGGTGAGTGACTCCCAGAGCCTGCGACGGCAGAGATGCATCCGAAATGGCACTAGGTAATTAAACTGTTCATTAAGCATGGCAGATGCAGAGTTCATGACTTGATTTGCCATCTGCTTTGTTTTGTAATCAGTAAAGATTTAAAATATTGCTGCCGCTTTCTCTGTCATGTTGGGCCCTGCATTATGTTTTTCTGAGGCTGAAATCTTCCGTAGAGGAAGATGATTTTAAAGTACAGGCAAAGTTCTTAATTTTTTGGGCAATCTGATCAAGGAGGTGAATTAATCTCTTTTTTTTTTTTTTTTTGATATGGGCAAATTAATCCTTAAATATTGCATTTAGTATGGCATTCAATGGAAGTAAAAAGAGCCATTCTAGCTACAGATGCCTTGATACTGTTTTTTGGGGTCTTCCACTCCATGGTCAGCATCCAGGTAGGAACAAGTGGCCTGGGGATACGACTGAGCTGCTCCTCTGTCCTCAGGGGAGTATCAAGTGCTCTTTTCTGTGTTCAGTTCACTTGGTAATTCCTTGTGCATCATTTAAGCAGTGTCACTTCTTATACCAGCTGTGCTGCTGCTTTACGTGTGGTTTTTGTCTGCTGTCAGCCTGACCCTTGTCACTCCCTTCCCTCTGCTCCCAGTGTCTCCCTTTTGTAGGATTTTGCAGCCGGTGGAAGTTGTTCCTTTTCGTGCCTGCATATAACTGCATTTCAAAACAATTCCACTGCTCCCTCCTCTGTGCTTCAGCAAGGCAGTCTTGGGGGGTGAGGTGATACCAGCCAGATCAGCTGGTGCACTTTAAAAAAGGAGAGCCACTTGCAGCCAGAGGAGCCCTTCTCTCGCCTGAAAGCCTCAGCAACCTCCTCCATTGAGAACTGTTGCCTTTATTTTTAACCTGATTATGTTAATCAGTTAATTTGGGAGAGAAGCAGGCTGGTAGCTATGGGCAGAGGGGTATGATAGCAAGGGAAGGGATAAGATCATTAACTGCTGGGGGCCAGAGCAAAAGAGGTAATTAAGCCTGTGGATTTCCAGGGGTGCTGAATGGAGGTTGCATGTGAGGAAAATTCAAATGGACCATCAAGCTGGTGTCTTTGTTGCATTATAATTTTTAGTATCCGATAGCATGAATTTTAATTCCCATACTCCTCTATCTGAAGGTGTTTTGTAGGGTTTTCCTTTTTTTTTTTTTTTCCTTTAAGAATCAGGCCTACTAGGACAGTGATGAGGTAGATGTTTTTGTGAAAAAATAGAAAAGTCTCTTCCCGCTGGGAGCTGGGTGTTATATTGATTGTGAGTTCAGGTTCTTGTACAGTGTGTGTTGGGCTTGATGTTCAGAGGGTCTGGGGGCATTGGATGAAGCACACAGAATTTAGTGATGAACAAATGGGATCCAGGGGGGTTGAAGGTGCTGCTGCCTTTTGTGTTGAGGCTGAGGAAATTTCAAGTTTTGTGTTAGTTTTTACCCGAGTCTGTTCAGTGCAGGCTGATCT